ACAACAACATCAACATCATCATCACCATCATCATCATCATTAACAACAACACCATCATCAACAACAACAACAACAACATCATCCTCACTATCATCACTACCATCAGCAACAACAATAGCAGTAACAACCTCGAAGATAACAAACTCAACAACATCTTTGTCATCAGCATCGCCAAATTTTAGGTGAGTAAGTTATGGTGATGAACGTAGTACTGCCACTACTGCTACTGATGGTGGTAAATTATCAGGATGGCAATGAGGATGATGATAATGATGACGACTATGACGATGAATGTCATGACGATTATCTCAAAAACTTAATGCATTTTAAGAGGCTTGAAAACCGTCGGAAAAATGTTTAAAATTTTCTTTCTCTCGAAAATATATCATTACTATTACTAATAATATTGGCATTATACCGATCATTATTATCATCATCGTCATCATCATCGTCATCATCATCGTCATCATCATCGTCATCATCGTCGTCGTCTTCATCATTATCAACATCATCAACAACAACAACATCACCACCACCACCACCACCCAATGATTTGCACAAATTTGTAACGCTTTCAATCTCAATTAATTTTTTTTTAAATCCGCAGATCGCGTTATACTAACGATCGAGATGATGATAATGATGATGACTAGTACACTACTACTACTACTACTACTTCTACTACTACTACTACTACTATTACTACTACTACTACTACTACTACTACTGCTTCGATTACTACTACTACTACTACTAACAACAACAACAACTACTACTACTACTACTACTACTACTACTATTACCACTACTGCTACTACTACTGCTGCTGCTACCACTAGCAGTAATTTTGCCACATAAGCAGCAACATAACGCATGTTTATGTTACTTGCATGCTATTTACAGACGCAGAAATATTTACAGAACGCGTATTAATGCCGAAAATACTGAACATAATTGCGTAAAATAAACAAACATACACACACACACAAATACACACGCGCGCACGCACAAACACACACACGCACGCACATATACATACATACATATACGTACAAACATACCAACATACAAACATACAAACAGACATACATCAATTTGTATTTTTTTTCTTCTGCGAATCCACATCGTGCATACCTATGTTTATAGACCATAAATTTGGTTTAGTAATTTGTTTCTGATTATTTTTTACTTTTTTTCTAACAATTGCAAAAAACTTTTACGTTTCAATCTTTAAATTGTAAAAATGAGAATTATTTTTCTACATGTTTTGAATTTATTTCACATTATTCGTTCTTTTTCGTTTGTTCGATCGATTCTCTTATTTCATAATACTTCAAGTTTTTATTGTTTGCTCTAATTTTTTCTCCTCTCTCTCTCTCTCTTTCTCTCTCTATCTATCTATTTCTATCTCTCTCTTCTTCTCAAAGCATCCCAATGGCGGCATTTAAAATTCTGACAATCGTTGTAGAGCGGATGCTTTAATGGTTTGTGCCCATTTTGAATGCCTGCCTCGTCGTCGTCATCATTTTTTTTATTATTATTATTGTTGTTGTTATTATTATTATTGTTGTTGTTATTATTATTATTGTTGTTGTTATTATTATTAGTTGTAGTAGTAGTAGTAGTGTTATTATGATGAATGAAACAGGGGTCTCTGTAACGGAAGTTAGAAATTTTTCAAAATTAACTGAAGAACAATTTTTTTTCAAATTAGCGGATGAAAATTGACTTCTCTTGAATTATTTACTGACGTAAGTGATCTTAGCAAATGACGGAAATAATAATAATAATAATAATAAGAAGAAGAAGAAGAGGAAGAAGAAAAAGAAGAAGAAGTGTAACAATAATAATAATAACAAATAGAATAGTTATAATATAGGGTGCCTGTGCTGGTGGCTGGCATCTTTGAAAATTAAATTCACGCCTATATTTAAATATTTAAATTCTTTAATTTAATGTCTCTCTCTCTCTCTCTCTCTCTCTCTCTCTCTCTCTCTCTCTCTCTGTCCATCCGTCCGTCTGTTTCTATTGCTCTGTATCATTCTATATATATGAAAAAGCAGCAGCAGTGGTAGTAGTAGTAGCAACACAAGTAGTTGTAGTTGTAGTAACAGTAGTAGTAGTTGTTGTAGTAGCTGTATAGTTGTAGTTGTAATTGTAGTAGTAGTTGTTGTAGTAGTTGTTATTGTAGTAGTAGTTGTTGTAGTAGTTGTTGTTGTTGTAGTTGTAGTAGTAGTAGTAGTAGTTGTTGTAGCTGTAGTAGTAGTTGTAGTAGTAAATAATAATAAAATTTAAAAGCTTTTTGTGCTGGTTGACAACAATTTCAACTTTTGACGAATTTAATTTTTAGATGCGCTGACTATGGAAAGAGTGTGTTTACGGGAAATAAACAACAACCACAGCAACAACAACAACAACAACCACACCAACAACAACAACAAATACATCAGCCACGACAACAACATCAACAAAATTCAAATCAGTTTCAACGACAGCCGCAACAACAGCAGCAACGTCAGCTGCAATTTTATCAACAACATCAACAATACCAACAACAACATCAACAACAACAACATCAACAAAATCAACATCAACAAAATCAACAACAACAATATTCATCTTCTTTACAATTGACAGCACTACATTCAACAATGCCAATTTTAACTTCGTCGCCATTAACAACAACAACAGCAACAACAGCAGCAGCAGCAACAACAACAACAACAACATCTTCCTCGTCATCATCATTTTCCTCAACCGCAACGACTTCATCACCATCTGTAGTAGCGGCTCCAGCAACTTCACCACCACCATCATCATCATCGTTACAATTCTTTCGACCAAAGACTTATTTAGAGCATTTAGACCGCCATAAACAGAGGCATAACAATAACAATAATAACAACAAGACTAATGTCTTATTCACTCAACTACTACAACATCATCCCAGTCAACAACAACAGCAACAACTACAACAACAAAGAACTGAAAATCTAAATAATTTACGTGGCCAAAGACACCAAAACGACTATCACGTGAGTTGATTTATTTACCTGTTGGCGCGCCTTTACGTCACTCACAGAATGAATTCTACGTCATTATCATCATCATCGTCATCGTCGTCATCATCATCTTTATTAAGTATTAATTTAAAAAAAAATATCATTGCTATTAGTATGACTGTGATCATTATCGTCATCGTTATTATTATTAGTAGTAGAAGTATTATAATTATTATTATTATTATAATTATTATAATTATTATAATTATTATAATTATTATTATTATTATTATAATTATTATTATTATCCTCATCGTCATCTTCGACATCATTGTCTCCGTCTAGTGTAAACATGAAACACGGTTTCATTTTATTACCTACTACCCACCCGCGTTAATCTCTCTCTCTCTCTCTCTTTCTCTATTTATTATGCATGCCTCTCTCTTTTTCATTTTCTCTCTCTCTCTAATAATTCATTCTTTCTTCTCTCTCTTTCTTCCATTTGTTTCCTTCTTTGTATTTCCAGCTCTTTTCTCTTCACAGATTCATACGTGCGTCAAGAAACACCTCTGTCAATGCATTGTATGTATGTATGTATGTATGTGTGTATGTATGTATGTATGTGTGTATGTATGTATGTATGTATGTATGTATGTATGTATGTATGTATGTATGTATGTATGTATGTATGTATGAGTACGATTCAATATTACACGTTTACAGGCTTGTCATCATCATCGTCGTCGTCAACAACAGCCAAGTGATGAAAGAAATGATAATGAAGATAACCATAAAAATGATGGTGATGATAATGATGTTGATGGTAAAAAAAAAGATTTCGACCATCCATCCATCTTTCGTCGTGACGTCATTTCCTCAACTGCTGGCGGAAGTCGACAGCTGTTTGGCGAGTCTGGCGTCATATTTCGAATTAATAATCTCAAAAGTGAAAATATTTACAATAATAATAATAATAATAATCTTCGTCGTCGTCATCATCATAATCACTACTCACTTGATCACGTGGGCGAGAGCGGGCAGCAGCTGAATACTTGCCGGAAGTCCGATTGCATCCTCTCAAGTCATGACGTCATCACTTGCACCGGTACCACAGCTACTACATCGTCATCGTCACGGTCGTCATCAGTGCTTTCTATGAAACCTGCATCAAATTGGCTATTTACCGTTGAGGCAGCCACTTATAAATCTTCTACTACTACTACTGCTACTACTACAGCTACGACCACTACTACTACTGCTGCTGCTACTACTACGACCACTACTGCTGCTGCTGCTACTACTACTACGACCACTACTGCTGCTGCTGCTGCTGCTACTACTACGACCACTACTGCTGCTGCTACTGCTGCCACTACTACTACAGCCACTGCTACTGCTGCTACTATTACTACCACTACTACTGCTGCTGCTACTACTAGTACGACCACTACTGCTGCTGCTATGGTTACTACTACGGCGATTCTGACGCGACAGCCGACGCGAGAGACGCGGCGGTTGTCGATTGTAGAAAGTGAAGATGGATGGACGCTGCTGAATCAATATAAACTGAAAGATGAGATCGGGAAAGTTAGCTGATTGATTGATTGATTCATTCATTCATTTATTTCCTCATTCGTTCATTTGTTTGTTCATTGATTCATCCATTCACCCAATGCTTCTTTTATTCATTCGTACGATCGTTCATTCAATTGGTCAATTTGTAAAATTGAAAGTTAATTTTTTGTCCGACTAATTGATCGGTTGGCTGATTGGTTCAATAAATTAAAAGGATTCAACTCAATTATTCATTCATTCACTCATTCGTTCATTCATTCGTTCATTCATTCATTCATTCATTTATCTCTTCTACATTCATTCATTCATTCAATCGGTCATCTTTCAAAAATGTGAAAATAACTGAAGGGATCGTATGGGGTTGTCAAATTGGCGTACAACGAACAAGACGACACTCATTATGTAAGTACTCCTTCATTCACTCATTCATTCATTCACTCATTCATTCATTCACTCATTCATTCATTCACTCATTCATTCATTCAAGCATTCATTCATTCAAGCATTCATTCAGGCATTCTTTTATACATTCATTCAATTAATAATTTTTCGTTCGTTAATTTGTTTGTTCGTTTGATTGATTGTTTGTTTGTTTGTTAATTCATTCGTTCATACACATCATTCATTCATGCATGCATTCATAACACACACACACACACATGCGCACACACACACACATGCACACAATCACATTACATCTAATAGATCTATCAAGCGAAAAACATCAATTAGCATTTAATTACCTCTTTTACAACGAATACGTTTCCTGCTGCTACTACAGCTACCACCACCACCACCGCTACCACCACTACCACTACTACTGCTGCTACTACTATTGCTACTGCTTCTACTAGCAATAATTATACAGCCATTGTGTACGTAATGTGTGTGTATGCGAGCGTACAGATGGATGTAGGTTGATGTTGAAGATAAACAGAGAGGAATGAAAAGATAAAATGAGAAAGAGAGAGAAAAAGAGAGAGAGAAAAAAAAAGAAAGAGAGAGAGAAGAACAAAGAAAAAGAAAATTGAGTGACTGAGAGAAAGTGGATTGTATTATGTAATGTAGCTGAATTAATGAGCCCTAACAGATTAGTAAATTTACGTCCGACAGACCGCCCATCTATTCATCCTTTCTTAATTTGTTCTTTCATTCATTCATTTATTCGTTCGTTCGTTCATTTATTTATTCATTCGTTCGTTCATTCATTCATTCATTTAATTGTTTATTCCTTCATGTATGTAATCATTCACGATCTTATTCTTCTGAAATGTTGCTGTTAAAAATATCATATTTATAGTTGTTAAAATTATGGTTTAGAGACTCATATATACTATGCGGCTATGAAGCTATTTTATGCGGCCCGCGAAAAAATGGTTGTCAGTCAGACATTGTGACCAAAAAAGGATAAAAAGGAGCCACAAAAGTTAAAAAATTCTACCCCGGGTCGAAAAAATTTGCTATTTAAGTACGGCGGCTCTTCAAAGGTAATATAGTTCTCAGTGCGGCCCTCACAGCAAAATTTACCCACCTCTTATACATGCAGTTCTTTTTAAAATGAATGATTTTATTTTCAAAATTTTCAAATCATTTTATGAACCCGTGAATTTCTATTTTAAAATTTATGTGAAAGTCAATTTCCATTCTCATAAATTTGATTTTGAATTGAAATATAATAAAAGTATGATTCTGCCTTACGCTGTATGTGTGTATGTGCGTGTATGTATGTATATGTGTGTGTGTATGTGTATGTGAGTGTGTGAAAGTAAATTGTATTTATGATAGGTAGGGTTAAAGCTATTTTTTCACGTTAAATCTTCACACTGCATTTGCTCGCTTCATTCAACTTTCCACGTCTTTTGTATCGCGGTTGGAATTGAGTTTGTATTTCTTTGTATGTTTTTTTTGCATGTGTTTTGTATGTTTTTTGTATGTTTTAGTATGTTTTCAAAATTCAATTATATATAAATTTTTTTCATATTTTACGTATAGTTATTCAGTCATTCGTTTGTTCATCCATGCATCTACCAATTCATTCATTCGTTCGTTCATTCGTTCGTTCGTTCATCCATTCATTCATTCGTTCGTTCGTTCATCCATTTATTCATTCGTTCGTTCGTTCGTTTATTCTTTTGTTCGTTCGTTTGTACGTTCGTTCGTTCAATTTTTCCTTTCATTAGACATGTCACCTTGCATTAACTCTGATGAGAGCATTTCAGACGCTAGAGTGTAATAATAAGAACGACAACGAGGACGAAGATGTCGCTTCTGATAGCGATGATGACGATGACGTTGATGATGATGGTGATGATACTGATGATGATGATGATGATGACGCCACGATCCAGGCAATGAAAATACTGTCAAAGAAGAAGCTACGAAAGAAGGCTGGCTTTTACAGTTGGTCAATTTTCAATTTCTGAAAAAATGTCACTTCGCTACTCTTTTGATATCGTCATCATCACCACTACCATCACCATTATCATTCACGTCCTCCTCCTCCTCATCATCATCATCATCGTCGTCGTCATCATCATCATCATCGTCATCATATGATTTATGACCTAGGTTTCTCTGCAATAAAATAATACCGGTGGCCAGAGTGGCCTGGTGATGATGATGATAATGATGAAAGTGACGATGATGATGACGATGACAATGGTGATGATGAAGATGATGATGATAGGGTGATGATGATAATGATGATGATGATGATGATGGCGGTAATGATGATGGTGGCGAATAAGTTTTTGGTTTCAATTGTAACCTTACAGGGAATTTCTTCTCGAAACCAGCATCCAAATTTGCGTTACCCGCCACAGCCGCTACCACAGCCGCTACCACAGCCGCTACCACAGCCGCTACCACAGCCGCTACCACAGCCGCTACCACAGCCGCTACCACTACTACAACGGCTACTACTAGCCTAAATAATATTAGTAATAATAATAATAATCGGCCCTGTCCGCCAATGAGAATGTCGCACGGTGTGGTTGGCTGCCCGCTGGAGCAGGTCTCATTAATTATTATTATTATCATTTTATTATTATTATTATTGTTATTATTATTATCATCATCATCGTTGTCGTCATCGTCATCACCGTCGTTTTGAATTTAATTAATGCAATGTTATCTGATACGTCATTACGGTTATTGAATATTAACTACTTATATCTGATAATGATGACGATGATGATGATGATGATTCTACTGCTATTTCTACTACTACTACTACTACTACTACAACTACTACTACTACTACTACTACTACTATTACTACTACTATTACTACTACTACCACAGCTGCTACAGCTGCTACTACTGCTATTTCTGCGACTACTATTACTACTTCTATTACAGCTGCTAATAACACTAACGATCGTAATCAATCATCACCATCATCATCATCTTCATTCTCACCATTATCATCATCATCATCATCTTCATCGTCATCATCAGGTCTACCGGGAAATCGCCATTTTGAAAAAGTTAGACCATCCGAATATCGTCCGCCTAATCGAAGTTCTCGACGATCCGGAAGAAGATCCTATATATTTGGGTGGGATTTTATTTATATTTTGTATTTTTGGTCTTTGGTTTATTTTAAAATCACATGACTTCAAACGTCACGGCGTGTATTTTTTCTCCAATTATAATATAAAAAATGATTTGACATACCAAATTTCCATTTCGATGTTTGCCTTCTTAAGAATCAATCAGATAATTTTAAAATAAAATAAAAAATTATTTAATTTTTTTTCAGCTTTCGAATTCGTCGAAAGAGGGTTAGACTCATAGAATTCCACAAAATCTTCATATACAATTTTTTTTTAAATTTTTAAACAAACAAACTCGTGCATACACACATGTACACACACACATTCATATACACACGTATACACAAAAACCATATAAATACACATTCAACACCAAAACTATTTCGAATTGGAACGAAACAAAACGAAACGAATCGAAACACAAAACCACCGCAGTTGTGTTCTAGATGTACCGACAGACACCCCACTATCTGAGGAGGTATCCAGATTGTACTTCCGAGACGTCGTTCTTGGTATAGAATACCGTTAGTCCATGTGATTGCATTTGCATACACAAATTAGTATTTTACCGGTGTAATTTTTTTTCTTTTACTCTCTCTTTCTCTCTCTCTCTCTCTCTCTCTCTCTCTTTCTCTCTCTCTTTCTCTTCTCACAATAATTTTTCAGTTCTTTCCCTCTCTGCTAATTTAATTTATTGGCAGCAGTAGCAGAACCTTCTTATTTAATCATTCATGGCTTTTTTATTTTATTATCATTAATTGTAATGATGATGACGATGATGATGACGACGATGATGACGATGGTATGGCGATGATAGTAATTAAGTATCATTTAAACTCATTCAACCGTTTTATTGTTCGCCTGTTTTCGTTATTAATTTGATTTAACTCTCTCCATTATTCCCTCCTTCTCCGTTTCATTAATTAATTCATTAGTTCGTTCGTTCGTTCTTTCGTTCATTCGTTTGTTCATTCGTTCGTTCGTTTGTTCATTCATTCATTCACTCATTCACAGTACATTTCCAGAAGATCATACATCGTGATATCAAACCATCCAACCTATTGTTGAGTGACTCTGGCAGGATTAAGGTATCACGTGATAATGCGTGCTGTCTGTTCTTTGTTTTTATTAATTCTTTGTATTTATTAGTTCTTTGTTTTTATTTGTTCTTTGTTATTATTTTTGTTTTGGTCAACATCATCATCATCATCATCGTCATCGTCGTCATCATCATCATCATCATCGTCGTTATCATCACCAATTTACATGACACAAAAGACGCACGTGCTAAACAACACAAACTTACATACAATGTACGAAACATGATAAACAAAACATGACACACAAAGCATACATACACTGCATGTGCAATACATTCGGGCATACAAGTGCATACATTTGGGATTTCCATTTCCCATAATTTATTTTTAGCCAGCGGTAATACCGGTCTTATTTTTATGTTTCCTTGAGGTATTTTTAGCCTGGTAATTCTATTTTTAGCTCTCAGCATCGTCATGTTATATGCTCTATATGTATGTCTGTATGTGTGAATACACTTGTTTGTTTGTTCGTGTGTGTGTGTGTGTGTGTGTGTATGTGTATGTGTGATATGTATCTTATTACACAATTGAATTTTTTTATTCCTTGAACATACATATCTCATCCATTCCTTCATTTTTAGCCTTTTACTGGTTCTTTTATTCCCCCTTCGTAACTAATTCAATCCTTCATTCATCATCACTACTACTATTATCAACACCATCGTCACCGCCATCATCACCATCATCACTGTCATCATCATCATCATCACCATAGATATGTGATTTTGGAGTCAGTGATGAGTTCATTGGCACAGACTTGCAGCTAACAAATACGGTTGGTACGCCTGCTTTTATCGCCCCTGAAGCTTTGGTGGAAGGGCGAGGAAGTTTTTCCGGGAAGGTTTGCTGATTGGATGGTTGACTGAATGGTGATTGGATGGTTGGTTAGGTGTTTGTTTGATTGGTTGGTTTTTCGCTGGCTGGCTCACTGATTGGCTGTTTTTAAGATTATTAGATTCATCTTTTTTACATTTTATAGGTAATTAATTTGCTTTACAATTAATTCCCCGTTCGTTTATTCATTTGTTCATTCTTTATTCATTCTTTATTCATTCATTCATTCATTCGTTCGTTCGTTCGTTCGTTCGTTCGTTCGTTCATTCATTCATTCACTCGTCCTTACATCCAAATGTCCGGTCATTAAACCGCGCTTACATCGTCTCACTCATCTTTGCAATCGATAAATCAATAACACGACGGACGGACACCAGCCCTCAACAACAACAACAACAACAACAACATCAACAACATCATCATCAACAACATCATCATCAACAACATCATCATCAACAACATCATCAACAACAACAACATCATCAACAACATCATCATCAACAACATCATCATCAACATCATCATCATCAACAACATCATCATCATCAACAACAACATCATCAACAACAACAACAACATCAACAACATCATCATCAACAACATCATCATCAACAACAACAACAAAAACAAAAATATCATAACAGGCTACTGATGTCTGGGCCATGGGAATTACCCTGTATTGTTTCGTATTCGGAAAGGTTTATTTTTATTATTATATTATTTTATTACTATTATTATATTATTTTATTATTATTGTTTTATTATTTTTATTATTTTTATTATTTTATATTATTCTAAAAATTATTTCATTTTTTGTTTATTTTTTTACTTTTTATTCGCCAAGTGGCGATGAAATATTTATGTTCTCGAGATAAATTTCTACTACAGCTGCTGCTACTGCTGCTACCACAGCTTCTTCTACTACTACTACTACCACTACTACTACTACCACTACTACTACTACCACTACTACTACTACCAGTACTACTACTATCACTACTACTACCACTACTATTACTACTACTACTATTATAATATTAATCTCAATAATAATTATTATTATAATTATCATAATTATCGGTATAATTTTCAGGTTCCATTTCACGACGAGAATATTATGGGACTGCATAAGAAAATTCTTATTGAGGCTCCATCCTTCAAAGAAAAGTCTCTATTTAAAATTTCTAAACATATTTCATTATTATTCATTTATATACTTATTAATAAATAATTTAATTATAGTTAATTCTAGTTATAATTATTTTTATTTATAATTACTATTTAATATAGATTTATTTTTAATAAGATGAATAAATGTTGAATAAAATGTTATTACATTAGAGTAAGCTTAAATACAAACAAACTAATGAATATACGCAGGCAAACATCTATACAAAGCCACACACACACATACAAACACACACACACACACACACATACAAACACACACATACAAACACACACATACAAACAAAAGTAGGATTGAAATTAGTGATCATCTAAAAGATCTCCTTACGAGAATGCTAGCAAAAGCACCATCCACCAGAATAACACTGGATAAAGTTAAAGTAAATTAAAATTACACACAAATCACCCATTTCCATCCATTTTTTCATCCATTTTCAAAGTTTGAAATTCCAAAAAATCATAGATTCACCCATGGCTGACGAAAAGTGGTAGCGAGCCGCTAATTAGCGAGCTAGAGAATTGTCAAGCTCTAGTTACTGTAAGCGCTGACGATGTTAAGAACTGCGTTAAAGCTGTTCCCAGAATAGCTACACTGGTTAGCAGATGATGAATGAATGAATTGTTAGATGAATGAATGAATGAATGAATGAATGAATGAATGAATGAATGAATGAATGAATGAATGAATGAATGAATGAATGAATGAATGAATGAATGAATGAATGAATGAATGAATGAATGAATGAATGAACGAACGAATGAACGAACGAACGAATGAATGAGCCAACCAATCATCTAACTTCATCAGATCCTAGTAAAAAAGATTATGAGACAAAAAAGCTTCAAAAACCCGTACGCCATCTTTGACATTTCCATGAACAACGACTTCGACAAAATTGGCGCCAAAAAGACCGGAAGCGGATGTCTATTGAGGGATCGACAGAGAAAGAACATGGCGGTCTTCTCTCAGACGAAGTCGAATTCTATACCAAAGCTGTTCAATGAAAGCACGGTTAAGAGGTTTTGATGATGATGATGATGATAATAATAATCTAATAATAATAGTAATAATGATAATGATGACGATGACGTCATTTCTATTTTGATTTGTAGACGAACTTCAGTCAGTGACGGTATATCACCATCTTGTCTAGAGAGGGAGCAGTTTTAGTGACGTCATCATCAACAACAACAACAACAACAAAACAACAACAGTAACAGTAACAACAATAATAATAATAACGCCACAATAAAAATTATAGTTTTAAATACGAATTCATTTTCTTTTCGGATTAAATCAAAGGAATATATATATATTTTTTTTTCTCTCTCTCTCTCTCGTTGTGATTGTGTTTATATGTCTGTGTACATTTCCATATATGCAATATATATTTATGTTTATATACATACATATGTATATATACATATATGTATTTTGTTTTTCTAAATATTTGTTTGTTTGTTTGTTTGTTTGTTCGTTCGTTCGTTCGTTTGTTTGTTTGTTTCGATATGCACATATCAATACAGTTTCGTTTTTTAAACAGTGGAAAACCATCATCAACATCAACCTCGAGTTAATTACTATTACAATTTTTGTTATTATTATTAATATTAATAATAATATTATTATTATTATTAATATTATTATAAATTTTATCATCATTATCGCTACAATCATCATATCTTCATCATCACAATCATTGTCGTCTCTTTTATTCTATCTCTAGCTTTCGTGTTACGAGTAAAATGTGCTGGACATGTAATCACATGTTTAACACACACACACACACACACACACACACGCACACACACACACGCACACACACATATATATACACACAACACACGCACACACGCACATAAATAAAAATATTTATATATATCTATATATTTTTTCTACTCGTTATTTTTGAAGAAAAGTTTTTAAACAGTTGTTTCAATTTGAAGATGATGTTTGATGATGATGGCGACGCCGATATTCATAGTGATAACAATATTGATGATGATGATAATGATGATGAGGAAGAGGATGATGATGATGATGATGAAGATAATGATGATGATGATAATGGTGGCGCCTTCCTTCCCAGGAGTCACTTATAAATAACATTCGCCATGAAAGCAATGCTATTCGGACATAAGTAAGCTTCTACGACTTGTTTATGTGTGTGTTTGTGCGTGTATGTGTGTGTGTATGTGTGTGTGTATGTGTGTGTCTGTGTATGTATGTGTGTGTATATGAGTGTCTTTATGTCTTTCTGAGTTTAGTTATACGTTAAACTGATGGTAAAAAAAAACTCATTGCTAGAAGGAAAATAATATATATTTGAATTTTTTATAAACATACATAAATACAAAACAAATATACACAGTATAAATGTACAAATTGTTTGTGTACAAACTTACATACACACACACAAATGTACACACGTACATACACGCACGCACATACAACACAACGTACGGGCATCTGTGCAGATGAAACCAGGGTTCTTCTGAAAAAATAACTGAACGTAAAAAATATGCTTGTTTGTTTTATGTGTGTTTGCGTGTGTATGTCTGTGTGTGTGTATGTGTGTGTACGTGTGTGTTTGTATGTGTGCGTATGTATGATTGTACGTTTATAAAAAAAAATACAAAAACGAAAAACAACAAAAAGACACAGAGCCATGTATGTGAATAAATAGGCACATAAGAATATATAACTACATAAAAGCATACATACAAACATACCTACATACATACAAACATACATACATACAAACATACATACAAACATACATAAATACAAACATACATGCAAACATACATACAAACATACTTACAAACATACATACAAACATACATACAAACATACTTACAAACATACATAAATACAAACATACATACAAACATACATACATACGTACATACAAACATACATACATACAAACATACATACAAACATACTTACAAACATACATACAAACATACATACATACAAACATACATACAAACATACATACAAACATGCATACATACGTACATACGTGAGGTTGTCCGGTGTTAAGATTGCATTCATTATTCAAGGACCAACACAAAAGGTCCTTTGTATCGTCAGACAGGTTTCATTGTCTACCTAAATTTGTGCTCCAGTACGCATGCTTCTCTGCTTCCATCCATCCATTTTATTCATCCATCCATACACTCATCTATCCATCCATCCATATCATTCATCCATCTATTCATTTTAGATATACATTCTTCCATTTTGATTGTTGTTGAATATAAGATCATTTCATTTCATTTCTTCTAACTATTATTCGTATATCCCTCTAAATATTTATCCATCAATCTATCTATTTATCAATTCGTTCATTCATATATTCATTCATTCATCTATTTATCCAATTCCTTCATTCATCTGTCTATTTGGATGGATGAACAATCCAAAAGCAAACATACTTGCTATCACTCATATAAACACACACACATATATATACATGCGTACGTATATATATATATACATATATATATATACACAGACATCACAGACACACACATACACACAGACACACAAACAAACACACGGACACTAATTGCAATATGTATTTATTTTCTAGCTTAGTACATATTTTTTATGCATGCTCGCCGGATTTATACACAACCACAAATACAATATGCATACATAAAACACAAATATACATACGTGTATACACATATACAAACATAGATACACACTTACATATATGCACACACATACACATTTAAACAAATATACACACAAACATGCATGCCATTAAACCGTTCGACCGCTAGCTGATGTATTTTAATTCCAGGGTTTTATAATTGTATAAAGTTGTATATTTTTAAGTGTTTCAGCGTTTGAATGTGTGTATATTTCGTATTTTTGTACACTCACACGTACATCGTAATATTTGCACGATGTGTATACTTGTTTGTATGTAGTGTAGAAACTCGAACATAAGAAGCGTTCAGCGAGAGTCTTCAGAGGAAGAGTTTCCGTCAACGAGTGTCTCGGCCCTTTAACTTCCTGACACGCTCGAGAAACAGGGCCACATCCAGTGATCAGTTGGATGTCTCTTGCTGAACAAACAACTTGTCCCCCCCTTTTGAAATCATCTCCTTTTAAACTGATAAATGTTGTGGCGTGCCAGAAAGTTCACATTTAAACACATCACGATGTGAGCTATATCGGCGAGCCAAGTAACACGTTAAGCCGAATCTGGGAGTGTTGAGTAATGGGAAGTCTTAGGTGCATTCAAGTTCATCTGTTAACTATTTTAACTCGCATTCTTTTTTCTTCCCACATAACCATCTCCAGTAAGACGCTTGTTCTGCAGCATGTCCTATGTTCTTCATACAACTCGATCGTCTTTTACCTGCCAAACCTAAATCCTTCAAAAAGCTGTACACTGAACAACCAACAACACTTTTTGCACCAACTTCAACTGCGTACAACAAACACCTCAACCCATGTTGTTCCATCTCACTAACTGGCTCTTCATACTTGGCTGTTCTTATAGCCTAACTTGCTGCTTTATTAGCCTCATACGGTACAGTCCGAGTTAAATAACAGTGACTGCTGATGACAACTGTACTACTGCGTTGGGTCTCGCTCCTGTATCCTTTATGAACGAAGGGTAGTTCCACATGCTCTCCAAGTCTGCCATGACCTTCCAATTTCTGCCGTTATCAAAAATGCTTTTTGGAACTTCATTTTTCGTGGTTTGATCCAACTCACCCTCTCTTGAGAAACGAATTATTCTTAGTTAACACGGTGGTTTTGAATTTGCCTCGTCACAAACATTGGAAACGATCTCCACTAGTGCTTTCAATACTTTGTTGTACCTCCACGTATAACGTCAATGACTGAGTGCGTACTGGCAAGAAGCCATTACGCGGGCCACCACTTCTATTTCTCCACGGAAGCTACACTTAGCTTCTCCTGATACCTTCCATCGCGCAAGATTTGCTCATAATAGTAGCTGATCATGGGATTAAGTAGGTTTGCATGCATGCATGCATGCATACATGCATATGAATGCATGCATGCTTGTATGTGTACGTGTGTATGTACGTGCGTGTGCCTTTGTATACAGGCGCGTTTGAGTGTGCGTGTTTTGTACGTACTCAGTTGCGTCGGTCGCGAGCGAGAAAGCGCTGATAACGAGTGTTTCTTTGAGATATGAGAATTTTCCGAGGTGCTATAAGATGTTGTTGTTGTTGTTGTTTTTTGCTGTTGTTGATGTTGTTGCCGTTGGGATTGTTGTTGATGTTGTTGTTGTTGTTATCAGCGTGTTGTTGGTTAAATATTGCCATTTTTAAAATTACAACTCGTGTTTATATTATGTCATATTCATCATCAACGTCATCTTTATCTTTTTCATCGTCTTCATCATCATCTTCATCATCGTCTTCATCATCACCTTCTTCATCGTCTTCATCATCATCTTCATCATCGTCATCATCATCACCTTCTTCATCGTCTTCATCATCTTTTTCTTCATTATCTTTATCTTCACCATCACCATCATCTTCATCACCATCTTCATCATCATCTTCATCGTCAAAGAATAAACAAATCACCATTCCTCCACCACATGT